CAAGGATGGTTTGCAAATTGATCAAGTAACTAGAAGCATCTACCTACTCAAAAGTCTTTCCTACACATTTTTATTCCTTTGACATTGTTGTTTAACCATTGTATTTGGTAAATAAACTTATCTTTGGATGTTAAACGGGACGGGCGTGGGTCATCGTATGACCATGATATCAATGGTGCCAAGTATCTTAACAAGCTTTAGGGACTAAGATCATTTGTTTTTAGGCAACATTGTCTAGCGTCATTGAGGGACTATGATTTTTTGTTTTGTTTGATTTTGCCAAGATACCTAGCATGCATACCATGGCCATGTTTTAAGGCAACCAAGTGGGTGAAACCCTAGAGGTGCTTGTGTGCAATGTGTTCCCATTTTTCATGCATTTTTGTCTTATGTTAAGTCATGCTATTTGTTTTGATTTTTGGTCTTTGCATACAAAACTCTAGTTTACTATCATGGTATATGAAAGCAATAAAATGCGTAAAGTAAATCTAGACTATTACAACAATATTATGGGGAGAGGGATACAAGTTTTGAATAGGGGAATATTGCTCAAAATAAAACCCTAAACTATTACAACCAAATTGAATTTATTGTACAATAAATAAATAAGCAATTATTTAAATATGCAATTAAATGTATGTATGCAAAAATGTTTTTTTGTATTAATTTTATGTATGAGAAAATAAATTTATTTATGTCTTAAAAATAAGAAAATAAAATGATTATTTTTGAAAGGGTGAAAACCCTAATTTTTGTTTAATAGAAAATATATTCTAATATTATTCCTTTTATTCATTTTTTGTTCAAGAAAAAATAATAATAATATATACAAAATGTTAAAAAATTGAATATTGTATGAAAATATTATTTTAAGTGTATAAATAATAAAATAAAAATTGTATGATATTTTTATATTATTTACAAGTTTTATTTAAGAAAATAAAGTATAAAATCCTAACAAACTATTTATTATGCAAAAAATAAAATAAAAAATATGATAAAATGCAAAAAAATAAATAAAATATTTTTTTTGCTATTTTTAATGTTCAGAAGAAAAAATAATAAAGTCAAAAATATAAAAATAATAAAAAAATATGAAAAATATCAAAATATGAATCAGGGGGTGCAAAAGCAAAAAGGAGGGTGTGAATAGAAACAGGCCCAAGGCGCCCAGGCCCAAGCCAACTTCATCCCTGTCCTTCAGCCAAACGACCAAACGCGCACGTTCTGCCTTTCAAATATGTTCTTGCTATTCTTTGCATAAAATCAAAAACTTATAACATGAAAAATGTAGCTCATGATCACACGATTCCAATGATATAAAGAACATGATCTAACTCTCAAAGATCAGAGAGAATTTTAATGGCCCTAATTTCTGACATAGTTTTTTCAGCATGTTCATCATCCAAATATTCTTAGCTCAGTTAATATAAATGGAAGTTATGCATATGTACAGCTCAAACACGTTAAGGACTACATTTTTGCTTCACAAACCTAAGCTTAAAGATGCCTAAATAGAGAGATAGAAACTTGACAAATACCTTGTTCAGTTGAGTTTGGATATGACAATGTGGGAACTTTGGGTGAGGCCTGAAGGTCGTGTGAGCTTGCTTGAAGTTCCCTCAACCTTTTCCAATGCTCAGCTTGCCTTGAAGTTGCCTGAAACTCCTTGTAGAAGTCAACCTGTAAACTCAACAAGTGAAAATGGTGAAGCTCGAAACAGGGGTTACAGTTGCAAGACAAAGGCCTGGACAGCTTAGGTGTGATGTATGGAATGTGTTTGAAGCCTTGAAACAAAAAACGCACGAGCAAAATATGTTTTGGCTAGTGATTTGTAGAGGTTGCCCTATTTTGGGCAAAAATGGTGTTTTTTGTATTTAGGGTGTTTGAGAGGTTAGCAATTCGTGTCTTAGGCTTGTTACAATGCTCTAAGGTTTGTTCAAATGATGCTTAGGCTTGGCTTTATCAGATGGATGAGTTATATTGACTTTTGCAAGTTTACTTGCTTTTGAAGAAAATTTGAGATGACAATGCCCAAGGCCTGTACATGCTAGCTTATGGACTGCACATAGTTGGTGTACTTTTCCTGAAGTTTGTGGATATTGTTTGCATCAAGAGATCAGGTTCATGGCTCAAGAAATACAAAGTTGTAAAAGCAAGCTTTATGAAAATGGTATTATGCACTTTATGCCATTTTTGGATTAATTCAATGTACAATGCTCCAAAGATAAAAAATAAAGCCATTGTCCACTGAATTAACATTCAATTTTGGAGTGTAGAAAGGATTAGGAACTGTAATGCAAGTACAAGTATGTTTAGGACAGATTTGCAACTTGCACCATTGTGAAAAATGCCTTGGACAAAAGTGATAAATTGCCATTTTCATTCCTTCGATTCTTCCTAACCATAAATGATCTTGGGGAGTTCTTGGAAATTTTGGAAAGATTGTAACAAGCTATACAATCCATCTTTGAAATGCATTTTGAGATTCCTCTTGGAACTAGGTGAAAAGTTTCCATGAAGTTAGGTCAAAAATCTGCCTAAACTAGGGCAAAATTTCACTAAGTTAAAAAGTTTATGGACCCTTATTCACAAAATCATAACTTGAGATCCAAGCATCTTTTTGGAAAACTTTGTGAACCAAAGTTGTAGATTTTGTGGAGGACTACAACTTTCATGTTGGAAGTTTTGTTTGAATCCAATTGCATCATGGTGAAAAAGTTGGGAAAAGTTGGGAAAAAATAAGAAATTTTCATAACTTAGAAAAATTCTAAGTTATGGAAAATTTCAAATTAAAACCCTAATTTTCAAAATTAGGTTTCTTGGTGAACAAGTTTCATGTTTTGACAAATCTTGTGAATTATGACCCTTGGCACTTGATTTTGACCAAAAAGTCAAAGTTTGACTTTTCAGTGTACAATTGACTTTTGATCAGTTGACTGCAAAATACATATGTCAATCCTATGCATTTGAGATCTTTTAAACCTTGTGATTAGGTCAAAATGATGCCATTGAGTACTTGAAACCATACTTGAACCCAATTTGCCATTGGCTAGGTGAAAAATCAGAAATTTCCCTTCCTCAGTCAAAACCCTAAAAATGACCATTTTGCCCTTTTGAAGATCTGATCAAATTTCTTGAGGAGTTGTGGTCCAAACTTGATCAAATGGTTCATATGAGTCTATAATGTTGATGTGGATCAAAAATTATGAGGTTTGACTGTAAATTGGCCACAGTTGAATTTTTTTCCCAATACAACTGATTTTTAGGTCAACTGTCCAATTGACTTGGCAAAAATGTGATTCAAGGCTTGAAACTTGGTATGATCAATCTTAGGAGTCCAACATGAAGTATGAAAGTCACATGAGGAATTGGAAGTCCAAAAATCCCTGTGCAAACTCAAACCCTAATTTCAGGCTATCAATGCAAGGAAATGTCTTAAGCTGAGCAAACTCTAATCCTGTCTGGAGTCCAAGAAGTCTTGTGAGGAGAATCTTTATAAAATGAGAGGGTAAATTTTGGGGTACAACATACGGGAAGACGGCCACGCCTTGGCGATGATAGAGTACAGGAGTCATAACGTCAATGTCTCCGAGGAAGATTAGCGTCTTGGTTTGATTGAGGGCAGCGAGCAGTGCTGCCACGGTCGGTCGGCATTTGGTGGGATAGGAACTGGTTGGAGGATTTATGGAAGTTCCTCGTTAGGGTTCTTAAACCTCTAATCGTCCAAGAATTGGAGGTTGTCGCGTTCAACATCGACCGAATCTGGGGACGTTGTTCGGCCATCCCTGACGTCGGGGACATCATTAAGATGAGGATGCTATTGGCTTTCGTCTGTCTTGTGGACGGGAGAGGGTACAATCTTTCTAGAAAGGTGGTGGTTATCATGGTCGGCCATGACGAAAGTAGTGAAAGTATCTTTGGTCTTCGGTTTTGAGGAAAAGGAAGACAGGGAAGATAGGTTCCACAGACGACACCACTAATCTTACCGTTTGACAGAACCTGAAGTGGGTTGAGATGATGACGTCTGCTTAGCTGAAAATGTGAGGAGAAGGGGGTGTACCTACAAGGCACTCTGACGATCTAGTGAGAAAGAGTGCAAATAGATACAAGAAAGAGATTAAGGTTTTTAGAGTGAATATTGGATATATGTCCCTTACAAGTTTGAAGGTTTATATAATTTCCCCGACGCTTAGCCATTGGTTCCTATTTTTGGGTCTAATTATTAGGTTCTTTAAAAATAGGTAACTGTCAGAACTTGGTCAAAACGGGAAGTCATGCCCGTAACTAACTTTTGCTTCGAACAAGGCTGAGATGACGAACTGACGCATTGTGAGCGTCTTCCTGGTGGTCTGCTCGACACACAACGAACAGTCCTGAAGGTGGATGTTGATGTGGGTAGGCGTACGGTCAGAACATCGTTATCCTCGATATCCTTAATGTGTGATTGATCAAGTGTGCTCGGTCGAAGACTAGAGTTAATGGATCAAAACAGTTGGACCACCTTAAAAATAGAAGCGAATTGAGCTAATTCTAACTATAAGGTCAATTCAGAACCGTATTAATTTTAGGAGTTAAAACAATAAAAAATTAAATAAATATCATTTACAAAAAATTCTTAAAAAAAGAAGTTTGATGCATTGCCATCACAAATATAAAGTTGTCTTTTGAAGGTGCCAAAATGATAACATCTCAATAATATATATATATATATATATATATATATATATATATATATATATATATATATATATATATATATATATATATATATATATATATATATATATATATATATATATATATATATATATATAGAGAAGTAATATTCAAAATATTCGATTTTTGGACTGGACACAAAAAGATGCTCCGGTGTTGTCCTACGTTTTTTTTTCTATTCACATATTGTACTTTAGTTAGTATCCAAGTATATTATATTTGACCTGCTCCATCTTGGTCTCCTCACCTATCCACGCAGAACGAAGCTTCGTTTAATTTTAATGGATTCTGTGAAAGTAATCTCCACAGGTACAATCCAAGCACCGAGTCACAACAATGGCAACTCATCTCAAACAATCGAGTTAACACCATGGGATCTTCAGTTCCTCCAACTAGAAACCATACAAAAAGGTCTTCTTTTCCACCAACCCACTCTCGCATCAAACCAAAACCAAATCAATCATTTGAAACAAACTCTTTCAACCACACTCTCCTTCTTCCCTCCCTTAACAGGCCGTCTCATTATCACACAACACAACGACCACAACAACAACGCTTCATGTTCCATCCTTTGCAACAACGTTGGTGCTCTCTTCGTTCACGCCATAGCGGAAAACACTACCGTTTCCGACATCCTTCAACCCAACTACATACCTCCCATTGTTCACTCCTTTTTCCCACTTAACGGCGTTAAAAACCACGAAGCCACTTCCCAGCCAATTCTAGCAGTCCAAGTAACGGAGTTAAGTAACGGAATCTTCATTGCTTTCACTATCAACCACGTTGTTTCAGACGGCAAGTCGTTTTGGCATTTCGTCAACTCTTGGTCACAAATCTCAAAAGGTTCTCAGAAAATAACTAAACTGCCTTCACTTCAACGTTGGTTCCCAAACGACATTGAACTTCCAATACGATTCCCTTTCACTAAAAAAGAATCACAGAACAGAAGCAGTTCTAAAAAGTTACCAGAAAGAATCTTTCATTTCACCAAGGAGAAAATCGCAGAACTGAAATCAAAAGCAAACGCTGAAGCCAAAACCCAAACAGATGAAACTAAAATATCTTCCCTTCAAGCGCTACTATCTCACATTTGGCGTCGCGTTGTTCGTTGCAAAAAACCAGATCCACTAGAAGATATTCGTTACGTGTTAAGTATAGGTGCTAGACCTAGAATGATTCCGCCGCTGGAAGATGATTATTTTGGAAATGCTGCGGTGTTTGCTGGTTTGGCGATGAAAGCCGAGGACATTCTAGAGGGTGGAATCGGAAAAGTTGGTTTGGAGATGAACAAGTTGATTATGTTACATTGTGATGAGAAAATAAGGAATAATTATGAGTGTTGGTTGAGAGTGCCGAGGTTGATAGAGGTTGCTGGTTTGGCAAATGATAATTCATTGGCAACTAGTAGTTCTCCAAGGTTTGATGTTTATGGTAATGATTTTGGTTGGGGGAAGCCTGTGGCGGTTAGAAGTGGGGGTGCTAATAAGAGTAATGGGAAGATTACTGTGTTTGCTGGAACTGAAGAAGGTAGTATTGATATTGAAATTTGTCTTTGTAACGGGATTTTGGAAGCTTTGGGAAATGACACTGAGTTTGTGGTTCCTATTTCTAAGTAATGTTTGTTCAAGGTGAAGAAAATGTCTTGTGTCTGGTTGGTATGTTGTGTGTATGTGATTCATAGGTATTGTGAGGAATGTTTAACTTGAATTCTAGTTCTAATGGTGTAACCGCATTTATGTTAATGAGTTTCTATTTAGAATTTTCTTGGTCTGAACTTGTTTATTAGGATATGCTTGCTCATCATGCTAACACGTTTTACGCATCTCTCACTTACTTTCGCGGTTCTTAGCTTGTATTCTTGTTGTCGTAATGAGTTGGATGCGTGTCATGGTTAGAAAAGATTCTTATTGGAGGGTTAGGGTTTAGCTGGTTAGCTGAGTGAAGATCTAAAAGTTCATGTTTAAAAAATCTTCTCTCTTGAAAGGTTTTTGATTATCTGAGTCTGAGTTGAGTTGCCATTGTTGTGACTCGGTGCTTGGATTGTAGATGTGGATAATACTTTCACGGAATCCATTGAATTAAACGGTTTAGTGAGTGAGGGTGGATGGATGAGGAAACAGTGATTTGCTGTCCATATATCCTGTCCAAAATCCAATCATGCTAGAAAATAATGGTGTGTTGGTGCCTTCTTCAATTATTTCTTTCTGTCTTTTCACTTTCTCTGTAATCCTTTGACATTTCTCCTCTATTCAAAGTTTGTCCTTAACTGCTCCATTTTGCTCCCTTTTTTCTAGTAAGTTTTCTTCTGTGTTTTTTTTTTTTTTTTAATATGAGCTTGATCTTCCCCTTTAAAATTCTTTTTTGGAAATCAAGGTGATCCCTTTAAGTGTTTGGGTGCTTTTCATTTTCTTCAAACATTAGATTATGGTTCTAGGTGGTTTCTTTTTTATGCTACTAGTTTAGGAATATTCTTAAGTAGACATGGTTTTACACATAACCATTCACAATATTTTACTAATTAAAAAATAAATAAATAATTATCTCTCTCCTTCCATATCATAACCATTAATCTAATTAAAACATAAATTTAAATTTAAATAAATTTCAAATTCTCTCTCTTCTTATTAGTTATTTTAAAAAAATATGGATTTAGGGGTAGTTTTCATGTAAGAATTCCTTATTATTTTATTTGTCATGAGTGTTTTATGAAACTTTTTGTAAGGAACTTTCTAAAAAAACTTGGATTGACATGTCCTATTTTTTTTAGAGGTAATCATAGTGACTCTCTATGATTGCTTCTGATGGTTTCATTATTTCTAAAGAGTTAGGTCATTTGAAGCGAGTATAAATAAAATGCATATAGAATGTCGATCTATTTATTCACCTTCTAAGGATTCACACCATTTTGATTCTTAACCGTGATTTGGCGAGGCTAAAGAATGGGACATGCAACTTTTGGAGCTAGATGATTGCATTGTTGAAATTTTTCATTATGTCATTTTCTTATGTATGATATAATCTCCAAGGATTATGATATCTCTTGCCTTTTTCCTCGTTTGAACGTCTTTGTTGTCAAGTAGTATATTAGCTCCTTTTATGATTTTCCCTATTTCCAAGAGTAACATTCGGTCTTTCTAACCTCTATGTGCCCATCTTCAAATAAGGCTCCAGATTGCGTTGTTATGCGCTATCTTCCATTAGGAGTCCCCTAATAACAACCATGTCTTGGTGGCCTTTGCGCCTACTTTCCCCCTTTTTCAAGCTTGTTTCAGTGCAAAGTAATAGTACTAAACCATTTATCTCATGTTTCTCATGAGTCCATATGTGTTGTTGATAATCCTTGACAATCACATTTCCTCCATTATTGGCCATGACAAATTAGACGATGATTTTTGGTCTTCTATTAAAATATCAAATGATATTCTAATTCTTTGGTTAAACTTAATCTCTTACGTCCTATTGATTCTTTGCATTTACTTTCCAAGGCAGCAAGGAAATATTTGGTTGTCTCTAATGTGTTTTTTAATAATATGACTTGGTGATTGTCTATCATCATATAATTTAATTGAGGGTTTGTATTTGTTTTGATGTAATTTAAGTTTAATTTATCTTGGTTTGGAGAAGAATTTTGAGGGAAATGAAGAAAGAAGTGAAAGAAAGAAAAATGAAGAAAATAAGAAAGAAAACATGCTAAAGCTACTGGAAAATTTGTGGCCAATTTCGTGCCACGAAGGTCAAGAAAAGATGTCATTGCACCACAAAATAATTGCAGCATGATGCAAAGTTTTCAAACACATTGTGGCACAATGTCGTTCAAATTCTGACATGATAAAAAAGCAAATTGAAAACTTTTGACGTGGATGGGACATTCTTATAGGAATGTTGAAATAGTTTTGATGGCAAAGGAAAACATGGAAGCTTCGAAATAAAAGCTTTTCACCAATCAAAGACCAAATTCTTATTGGAATTTCATGTATTATTTCTACAACTCTATTGTATGAATTTTGTTTTAATTAGTAGTTAATTATCTTTTTGATTAGGTTTTAGGAGATGAACCTATATTTGATGTGTTGGGACATATCATTTGTTTCTATATAATTTTTTAAAATGGATATTGTAGTATGTATTCAGTTACTCTTTTGTGCATTGCCTTGTATGTGTTGACGAGCGTATAGATTGAACCTAGGATTGTAGGATTATTGACTCTAACCCTATGAGCTTGATCTAGAGTAATTGTTCACCTTAGTATAGATTCATGGATATATAATTCTAAGGTTTGGCTTTTGAATTAACGTTCTAATTTTGCCTAATTTAACTTCGAACTGGCCTAAGGAATTAGGGAATTGTCATGTGAGTTACTGAGTTATAAACAAGGAATTGGGTATGACGACTATGTTAGTTCATCGTATTCGTATGAGATTAATTTAAAAGAAAATAATTTTCGTCATCAGTTGTGAGACTTAAGGGATTCGAATAAAACTTGAACACTTTAAATCTGATATTTTCCAATACTTATTTCTTTTTCCCGTTCAAATGAAATCATTGCAAATCCCCCAAGGTTACATTTTAAAAACACGTTTCAATTGTTTTGTTAAAATAGAACATTACTTTTGAAGACGAATGATTTTTATTACTTGCGATAGTTTTGGTGTCGTTGCCGAAGATTGTTGAATATTTCAACAAGGTCATTTAGGTGTTTTGAGAGTTCTAATTTTATTTTTATCTATAACTTTTTTTAGTTTTATTTTAAATTAGTTTTTTTTAAGTTTTGTTGATTTATTTTATTTTTAATTTCTATTCTGATTTTACTTTTTATCTGGTGCAATGCTACTAAGATATTTTTTGGTTGTGTATGTGACATTTAGGATCAACGTTATTATCGTTTGATTCAGAGATTGAAAAGATACCTAGAAAAAATCGGAAAGCATCTAAAGAAGCACAAGTATAGTAAGAAAGAGTAGAAGATGAGAACTCTCAAAATTCTTCAAATCACAAAAGTGAGTAAAAGGAAGAGGTTAGGGAAATTCCACCACCGAGAATGACCATTGGTGACCATTGTAGGAGGATTGATGCAAGTCATATTTCTCTAGGGTTCCATACGGTGAACCGTATTTCTATTGATATAAACAATATTGTTCTTGTCGGTTTGAGAGATTGGGAACATTTGACACGATTCTATGAGACATGCTCTATGTGCAAGCCAAATGGGGTAATTGAAAGCCAGATCAAGCTGAGACTTTTTGGATTCTCATTAACTAGAATAGCAAAAGATTGGTTGTAGTGCCTACCGAGTGGTACAATTCATACATGGATAGAGTTAGAAGAAAAATTCTTAGAGAAATTTTTCACCAATGTACAACTTGTTAAAAGAAAGGATGGAATTTTAAATTTCTCATAAGGAATTTCAGAATCATTCAATGATTCATGGGAAATATTTAAGCTCTTACTCAAAAGATGTATGAATCACAACATGGATAACATAGAGCGGGTACAATACTTTATAAGAGGTCTAAAAGCTCAAGCATGAATGCTTTTAGATGCCTCGACTAGAGGTACAATCAGAACAAAGAACGAAGACAGGGTAAAAAAGTTAATTTATAAAATGTGTCAAAAGGAATACCGCTCTCAAAGTTAAAGAGATGTTAAAACTGAAGAAAAGAAAAAAGGTGTACTAGAATTGGATGCCCTCACAATTTTGTTAACCCAATTGGAGGTTCTTAAGAAATAGTTAGTGGGGGCCACTATTGTTCCTACATATATGAGTCAAGTTCAAGCGGTGCAATGTGATTTTTATGAGAAGGCGAATGCTAATGGCAACTGCGCGCCTGAAGAATTTACGGAATAAGCATAATATTCAAACAACTTTCCAAGAGGTAAAACCCTTATTCTAACGCTTAGAATCTAGGTTGAAAGGATCATCCTAATTTCAATTGGAAAAGCAACACAAGTTTGAATCCAATTCAATGTGTTCCTCAAATTCCTCAAGTTACTCAAATGCAACAACCCAATAAGCCTTTTTCCATTAGAGGAAACTATGGCCTAATTTATGAAGATGACTAAAAGCAACTTTGAGACTATGAGTAAGAATAATGAAGCATCCATTAAAATTTTGGAGATGGAAATTGGTAAACTATCAAGCCAATTTACATCATAAATAGGCATGGGCTTAAATGGAAATATCATAGACAAACCTAAGAAAGAGAGTTGTAAGGCTATAAAATTGAAGAAAAATGTTGTACCTTTTATTCCTAACATAAATGAAGAGAGATAAAACTTGAGTGAACATGAGGATAAAAATTAAAATAAGGGGGAAGTGGAAAAAGAAAGTGATGTAGTAATTAAAGGAGATGTTGAAAAAGAGAAAGAATTAAAGGGAGAACAAGTGAGAGTGTGAGTGAAGAACTTGTGAGGGGAATATATTTGAAAAATTCATTGTTAGAAATTCACCTTTGAAGAGAACAAATAGGCAAATACTGAATGAATCTAATCATGAACTACCATCCTATGTTAAGCCTTCATACCCAATTCTGAAGAAGAAAACCAAGAAAGAGATGGAAGTGGGGACATTCAAAAAGTTCATGGAAATTATTTAAAATCTCAAACTTAGTATTCCATT